CCTTCTTCTCCTTGTGACAAGTAGCGGGACACTGATGGGTGGCTGTACATTGTTGTGTATGAGTGTGTTGCGCGGCCCGAGAACGAGACTATCCGTATTTTTTTTTGTTTGATTAATTCAGGTCGTGCTGGACCCGAGATGGCAACGGTCTCGGGCTGCCTGCCTGCTACGACGGCGCCGTCTACATTGCGGATGCTGTCTGTCCCTACTGACAGGCGCTCTATCCCTAATGATACCAAATTGTTCATGACATGTCCATCACGGATAAGTTATTATTAATCTGCGCGGGTCCGTCACCGCGCGGCCCTGCCAAAGCGCACCCAGAGGCCGCCCTGAGGGACAAGGCGGGTGTCAGCGGCGGGCGAGCGGAGGCGACGCGGGGCACGCACCTTTACAAACGCGGTGAGGGCCGCCTGCGGCCATATTTTCTCGACGGGGTCGCGCCCGCGGCCGGCCTTCCACGCGGGCGGGGGCAGCGACCCGGCGGGCTGGGCGTCGGGGGCGAGAGCGAACGAGTCGAACTGCTGGAGGAGACGCACGAGGAAGCACGAGGCCTCGTTGAGCGCGTAGTTCTGGCCGATGCACTGTGCGGGGGGGGGAGGCGGTTAGCCGCAGGAGGACGCGAGAATGTGTGTGCACGCGACACTCACGATGCGTGGCCCGGCGCTGAAGGGCGTAAAGATCATCGGGTTCGCGGTGAACGTCGCGAGGCGCGCGTCGAGCCAGCGTTCGGGGTCGAACGCGGCCGCGTCGGCACCCCAGAGCGCGGGGTTGCGCTGGGTGAGGAAGGAGAGGTACTGGAAGGGCGTCGAGGGAGGGACGTAGAGCGGGCGCGCGGGCGCGTGGTAGGTGCCGTCAGACTCGGGGAGCAACGACGCCTGCGGGCGGCTCTCACGCGCGTTAGTGGGCACAGGAGGAAATAACCGTAGGGTCTCGTTGATGACTGCGCGCACTGGGGGGTGTTGTCAGGCACTAGGCGGCGATGGCGGGGCAGAGGGAGACGTACTGTATCGCATGGACTTGATGGTGGCGAAGGTGGGGGCACCTTCGGGGCCGCAGTGTGCAAGGACTTCGGCGCGCAGCTTTCGCGTGACATCAGGATGTTCACTAAGGAGGTACGTGATGGAAGTGAGGAGGGACGATGTCTGAAGACGAGCGTCAGTGTGTACACGCCACGGACACGAGACACGACGCACGGTGTCTCTGGACGCGAGCAGAATGTTGAGCAGTTGATCTTGGATGACTTTGCGGTCTAGAGCAGGTCAGCCAGGATTAAGCGGAAATTTGACCACTATACAGACCTTCAGTGCTGTCAGCGAGATACTCGAGAAAGACGCTCTGGTCGAGGGAGCTTTTTAAGCCAGCCTTGCGCATGGAGGATCTGTTGTCAAGGGCATCTTCGACGAGGGGGCTGACCCAGCGGTCGATGGTGCGGCGGAAGCGGACTTGAGGGTCCGGGAAAAAGAACTCAAACGCGGGCCAAAAGTAGCCGCGGCGGGCACGGGTGATGACGCGGACCTGGGCGGCCTCGAATGCCTGAGCGAACGCGCCAAAGGCGTCGTCTGTGGCGGAGCCCATGGCGCCCATGCGTGCACGGCCAGGCTCGGGGAGCTGACTGGCAAGAGTGGCGACATTCTTACCAAAGAGGAACTCGGAGGCGGCGTCAAGGGTGAAGCGGGCGTACAAGTCCTGCACGTCGATGGGACGGCCGGTGGCAGCGAATTTTGAGATGAGGGCGAGCGTGGTTGTGGTGTAGCGCTCGAAGAGCTCAAAGTCGGTAATGCGGTCGCGGGCGAAGAAGGGGCGCGCAAGGGCTCGGTGCTGTGCGAGAGATGTGATTTAACTTGCGGCACGTGTGCGGATACGGGCAAAAACTGACCGCTTTCCAAGACTAGAAAAATTGAGAGGTGAGTCATGCAACGGGGGATGTGAAAAGGAAAAGGCTCACGTCGTCATCGCGATTGAAGATGCCTTCGCCTAAAAAGACCTCACTGAAGATACGGATAAGTGTGAGTGTGAGAAGAGATGGACGGATACGGACAGGCGTTCTTTTTGGCGGGGACCTCTCCAGAAGTTGTTGAAGCCAGTGGCGAGGATACCCTGTATGTGTTTCGCGTCCATGGTGATGATCTGGGATAATAGCGGGTGAGTGTCTCCAGGAGCTATGAGATTGGAAGGGAGTGCGTACGAGGTCCTGCCATAGGAGGCGAAGATTAAGGGTGGTGGACTGGTACTGTTCGAATAGGTCGAGCTGGTAGGATCCAAGGGACCTGGATTGGGCGGCCTTGACGAGGCCAAAGTAAATGTCGATATTCCCTGGCCACTTTCCGCGGACACGGGGAATCTGGACGGCGCCGAGGCGAGTAGCTTCGCGGGCATGGACCCAGTCCCAGTAGTGATTTCTGGAGAGGGCGGATGCGACGAGGAAGAGAAAATGGAGAGGGAGGGTTAGCAGCCCGGGATTGCGGTCGAATATTCGGAGGAGAGCGGAGAGAAGTAGGCATGGTACGGCGACGATGCGGAAGAGGTCCTTGAGGAGGCGGATGCGGTAGAAGCTGTCTGGGTGCATGCGAGGCGAGGGTGAGAGAGGGGAGGAGCATGACGGAGAGAGAGAGAGAGAGATTCATAAGGAAAAGGGACATACGGAGATTTGTCAGGGCTTGTTGAGCCGGGGGAGCGACCAGATCAGCTACCGGGTCGCAGCGATCAATTGGGCCTGAGCTGCAGTTTGGCGGCAAATGCCAAGAAGCACGGAGGATGTCTGTCGCCGCGGCTGCTCCCCCTGCAGCCGCACTCTCCAGGCTCACCTGGAGGGCGTCACTGAGTGCTGCGAGATCAGATGGAGTGTCTTACTTGGATATGTTACGCGCGACCGTCCCCGCCCCTTCCCGCTACGGCGACGTCGACGGGTGCGTGGCCCAGTAGTAGTCGCCCACAGCACTGCATCCCGCTAGACGCCCGATGGCCGCAGGGCGCACGACCGATCCGGATCGTACACTCCGCCTACGCAGTGCGCACGTCTCGCGGGCTGTGTTCCACCAGGCTGCTCAGAGCAGCCGACGCTCCCCCGAGTCGACTACTTACAGTGTGTGGTTAGGACATTGAGCGTGGACAGCGGAGCGCGAGCGACAGCGACGCCGCCGGATCACCCGCACCTGCTAACCCCCGCCAGGTCGAGGAAAACAAGTCTCGCGAGAGGACACCACGCGGCCAGGCGGTTGCTACTTGGAGCTGGATTCGCCGGCTGGTCCTCGACGAGGCCAGGACCAGCAGTAGCATTGCACGGTCTTGCAACCTCCGGATGGCTTGTGTGTCGCGGCCGAGCGAGGAGGGCACAACGGCCGCACGACCGTGGGGCAAAGATGGATAAAACCCAATCTAGGATCAGATCTGGGGTTAGGGCTCCGTGCAGCCGCCTGCGTCCAGTCGTCGTCGACCACTCGGGACTCGCTCTCCCCGACTCGACTCGTCTCCCATGGGTCGCCTTCGTCGCGACACGCAGGACTCGCTCTCCTCACGCCCACTCCGTGTCCTCGCCACCGGCACCCTCTTCCTCACCCACACCCTCTCGCTCCCCTCCCACCCCCAGCCCTCGTCCGTCGTCCGCGCAAGCTCTGTCTCCCGCTCCCGCGGAGGCTCCGTCTCCACCTGTCTCTCCATCCTCGCCCAGTTTCCTTCTGTCGACGCCCTCCTCGTCGCGCCCCTCGGAGGCAACGAGGACGGCAAGCGGATCATCCGTGATCTCGAGAGGGAGAGGGTCAGCACCCGCTTCTGCAAGGTCTGGGACGACGCAGGCGTCCCCAGCGCCTGGGTTCTCCATGCAGGTCGCCTCCCCGCATTCCTCTCCCGTGCACCCACTCACCACCTTCCGCCCTTTCCTTAGACGACACCGACTCCCGCACAGTCATCAACAACAACCCCCTCCCCGACATCACCCACGAGGAGTTCGTCTCCCTCCTCGGTCCCCTCCTCGCTCCCGAGAATTATGCCTATCTTTCCTCTTCGTCCCCTCCACAGGCCCATGCCGCCAGCGCGACCTCGCCCCCAGCCGTGAGCACCCTCAAGGCGCTCCAGCCCCGTCCGTCCACCTCTAGCATGCACCCCGCTTCTCCTCCCCCCCAGCGACCTCCGGTCAATTCTAACAGCCCTGCCCCGTTTGACTGGGTCCATTTTGAAGGTCGCTCCGTAAAGACGACGCTAAGCAACATCATCGGTCTCGACGGTCTCGCCAGGGAACGCAAGTGGCGCAGCCACTGCGTCTTCAGCGTCGACGTCGGAAGACGCACTCGCCAGGGCGTTGAAGCGGTGTGAATTTCCTTCCGCTCGCAGCTCCAACCACATGCTAATCCCTCCCCTAGCTCATCCCCCACGCCGACGTCATTTTTTTGAACAAACACTACGCTCGCGCGCACTCCCCGCAGTACGCCGCCTCCCCGCGCGCCTTCCTCCTCTCCCTCACCGTCCTTGCCCCGCCTCACGCACTCCTTATCGCGCACTGGGGTGAAGATGGCGCCGCCGTTCTCTCAGTCCCCACACGTGAGTATTTCCAGAGCTCCGGCTGGGTCGCACCCGATCCTCCTGCGCTGCCAGACCCCCCCGCGCTTTCCCTACCCCTTGGGACGCGCGATGGCCAGTCCGACGAGGTCCACTCCGTTCGCACCGAGAGCGACTTCTGGGCAGGCCAGCACACCGACTCATCGAGCGTGTTCACCGCCGGCGTCCTCTCTGGCCTCGGCTCCCAGTCCTCGCCGTCCTCTGCGCCGCTCTCCCCCCAGCGCCCCGCCCGCACTCGTACCGCTTCCGCCGCGCGCGCGCGGGTGCGGATCCGCGAGGGTGGGGACTCGTCCGACTCGGATGGCACGCAGATCCCGCCCGCACGGCACGACCACGACGACACAGAGCGCGGTGCGCGTGCGGGCAGCGGCAGCGGCGTGGTCGACGAGGTAGGAGCGCAGGACGCCTTTATGGCCGGGATGATGTTCGCCCTCACGCGGCGCCTGCTCCCGGGCGAGCCGTACACCCCGTCTGCCGTCGCGCGCGAAGGCCCCGCGAGTGGCGAGACGGACCGCAGCCGGTGGCGGCTCGAAGAGTGCTTGAGGTGCGTCGCCTGCTGTCCTGTGCCGAGTCTGTTGTGTCTGAGCGGAACGCCAGGTTCGCGACGGAGCTCGCGGGGAGGAAGGCGCGAAAGGAGGGCTGGGAGGGGCTCGCGGACGACATGGCCAAGGCCGGATGGTTTGATGGCTGATGCCTTGTCAGCGTTTCCATCGTGTACAGTTTCTTTCCATTTCCAAAATTTGCGTGCCTCATGACGAATATACCTTTTCCATACCACCGTGGCGTTGTATTTCACGCAGACTGTCGCTGCTTCACTCGTGGCGCTCAGCTACTTGTGCTTTCTATCGGGCCAAGCGTCAACGACAGCAATTTTACATGTCCAGGCTGAAACTCATCGGTGTGTCGTTCTGTATACGTTCTTCACGCCCTGCATTTGGGCTAGTTGTGCACGTCAAGCACGAGAGGGTCACGCGAGGTGCGTTATTCGGATTCTTCGTGCAGTCGTGCACGTGTTGCAAAGCTACTAGTACAGTTAACAACACGCTTATCAGACGCCTTCACACTCTACTACGCGAGCCTAGAAGAGGGCGGTGATTCAAAGATTTCAACATAGCGTCCTGCACTTATTCTCGTCGGTGGTCTGGAACGTCTACGCGTGTACTCTATGGTGAGCAGATATTCAACGCCGATGGCTGCAGTGAGCTACAGCTACAGCATCATGTCCAGCTGGCCATGACGTCTGCCGTTTCTGCGAGCGAGACGGCCATGCCCATGCGCGAGGACACACTATGTGGTGCGGAATTTAGCCGCTGCGCGCAATTCGAGCCGACAGCTTGAGTCGTACGTCAGGCGATGTAGTGCGCTCGCAGTCCTGCGCGTCTCGATGCGTGCTCTCTTTCAGAGTCATCTTTGTGGCATAATGCCTTATGGTCGCACCCTCAGGTGCTCATGAGGTAATGATGGGCATGCGCACGACACATCAAATCAATCAGTCGCTCGCTCATCTTCCACTAGGAGCGGAGTCGTAACAACATTGCATGGATCGTCTTTCCTGCACCAAGTGTTGGAACAAAATGATCGATGAAGATGGCGAGATGACTTCTGCTCGGGCGTGAGTGGCTGGTAGAATGGTGAGATTTAGGATATACTGTCTCCATAATGATACTGCACGCATGATAAGCCTGCTGGCGTTGACATATTGGCAATGAATAGACAGCCAGGGAAGTTGATGCATGATGGCCTCCCGGAGAGGCGCTCCCCTGAAATAGTTGGAACCCATCGTATTTTACTCAGCACTCTTCTCTCTTTGTTTCTCTTGGACAGCCTAACGTGCCGCAGGCACTCTTGTAGGCGCAGGCACAATGCCTTTGACTCCAGATTCAGAGCTGGATCTTCAGTTCCCGTCCGAACAGATACCAGACGAGGCAAGAGAGCACCTCCCTCCGGACTTCCATGTTTGTGTTTTTCCGAGCATATTTCGCATACCGCGTTATGACACTCATTTGCAGCTCCGGCCCCTTGCGTCGACAGATTACCGGCGTGGTCACCTCTCTGTCCTTTCTGTTCTAGCACCTGTTACCGACCCTGGCGAAGCCGCCTGGGTCGCGCAGTTCAACACCAATCGCGCGATAGCTACCACCTACTACTTCGTTGTGATTGTACACAAGCCTTCCGACCGGATTGTCGCTACTGCCACGCTGTTCATCGAGCGCAAATTTATACATGGCCTCGGAAGTGTTGCCCATGGCGAGGATGTCGCTGTTGACAAGTCCCAGCAGGGAAAGAGTTTTGGCTCGCACTTGAACAAGGCGCTCATAGGTATCAGCGAATATAATGGCTGCTATAAGGCCATTTTGAATTGCACTGACAGCAATATGCGTGCGTATGCATGCCTGTACATGGCTCGGTGCATATGTTAACATGCGTTCTAGCATTTTATGAGAAGTCCGGATTCAAGCGGGAGGGAAATCAGATGGTGTGCCCAGACGTGTTGATTAATATCATTGCGATTGAACGACTGGCTTATGCAGGTGAAATACATGGCGGCTCATCCTCACTCGTCACGGTTGTAAGGGTCTGTGCTAAGCCGGTATGTAACTGTTAAAAGCGGAGCATCTGTCTTAGTCACTCGCGATGGTATCCGACCATATTTTCTGTACTGTACATGATATGAGTGAAGCGTCCATCTGGAGAGTATGTACATGTGAGTCCATGTCTGTAAGGTATATAATACATCTGGGCCTCTTATCCCAGTTGCGCGTGCATCAGGAAAACACACGCTTATGAGCAAGTAGGGCCGGAAAATCCTAGTCGCCCAGGGATACTTACCTACAATGCCACCCTACATGCTAGGATGACAGTGCATGTAGCAAGAGCAGCCATCCCAGGCGGCCACTGTACGCCGCCGCAGCCTGAGATTGCGCGCGGGGGTGTTGATTAGAACAAATTGTATGTAAAAGGACTTTTTCGAGTTGGTATAAATACCATTTAAATTTATATTATTGATACGACAGATACGAGATAGGTAATCTTATGACAGAACAATAGCGCGTTTCGGTGATGTCTTCACCCTGGCAGCACTGTTCCCGTCAGACGCTGATTGCGAGCCCTCAGAAACTTATGGCCATTCGTACAACACAAACAAATTACACAAAATAATGCGCCAATGCCACCACAATCCACACGCACATGCTTCTCACTCCAGCTCGTCAAGCAGAGCGCGCACCAAAAGGGCACGAGCGCGATACCTATCGTGGCCCCCATCATCGTCATGGAATCGCCCTGCATTGTGTTGCCCAGATTGGTCCTCATCATCTTCAGGAACCGTTCTTCTCCCTCGGTAGCTAGCGGCTGCCTGATTAAGTGCCTCATGATATGATGGTAGAACATGCTCATATTGCGGAGGAGGGTGTTGTCGATGATATTCGTCTATTGCGGGAACGTAATAATGGGCGGGGGCATGTTGGATGCTCGGATCATAGCGGACAGCATTTGCGGGAGGCCTCTTACCAGCTCTACAATCACCAATACCATAAATCCCTATTACAACACAAGCACTGAAGCAGACTCACAAGACAAGAGTGGGTGCAAAGACAAGAGTCCCCAACCCCAAAACTGTCGAGATACGCATTGTGATCGTGGTAAGAGGTTAAATTTGTCGTAAATCGTAAATGAACTCAAGTCAAGCTGCAAGTAGCCTTTCAGCGATTCAAGGACAACGAAATACGGGATGGGACTCACTATCCAGTACCTGAACTTGGGGAGACGGGCGAGCACAGGTCAACTGAGGGCTGGAGAGGCTCATCAACAGAGATGACCGTCTTTTATACTGTTGTTCTCTCGCCCGGGCACTAGCGAGCCGGCACAACCTCCTTCCGCAGACGACGTCTTGGTCAATATGTTGCACTAGTTAGTGCAATCAGCGACTGATGCAATATCTCAGACTCGCCGTAGATGGTAGTCACGGCCCGGGGCGCGATATTTT